AAACATTAGAACATAACTTCTGATCAACCACCTTTTCACCCATAATGGAAAAATTAAGTCTCAAAAGCTGAATTTCTGAGCCAAAACAACAACATGCACAATCAAAGGATTCAGTTTTGGTTTAGTAGTCACCATGCCAATTATTCTACTCCTGCCAATTTTCCGGCTGAACAGATATAGAGCTGAGTGGCCACATGGTGCTGTGATAATCAGCCAAAATGCTTAGAAGTGGCTGCAATTCAGTCATAAATCATGTCCTGTTTTAGGTAGAGTCAAGAAAACGACTTAATCTTGCTATGTAGCTGTAATGAAGCAAGGGACAAATCAACTTTTTGGAAAAGTGGTACATGACATGTAACACAATCTTCACAATTACATCGCCCCAGTGAAGTATACGCTGTAATGCGTCCTCATACATCCTACATCTGACCTTCAGCTATTCTTCTCTTCTGTACCAGCTTTGTCCTCTCCATTGTACAGATCCTCATAATGTATGTGCCTGGTTGGAATGTATTATTGGTGAATGCTATTTGAATTGGCTCGGTCAAATTGGGTGTACAGATCCACATAATGTATGTACCGAGCTGGCCTTGCTTGTTCCACTCATTATGTGTGGAACGAGTTCAAGAAGGCAAACAAAAAGCATATCTCTACAAAGCAGGCAAAAAAAGGACAAGTCTTAAATCAGCACAGAATAAATTCCTGGCATTCATTTAATTGTCACATCCAGGTGACAATTAAATGAATGCCAGGAATTTATTCTGTGCTGATTTAAGACTTTTCATTTAAGCATCAACCGTATGACAGCTGGAGGGCCTATGGGCTCACCAGGGCACAGCACATTTGTATTGATGCACCAAAGCTACAAATAGCTGTACAAGCATCACTGCAATCTCTGTTTATCTGTTTGTTCTTTGTCTGGATTCCACAACTCTTGTAAATCCAACTTGCTTGGACTAACAGTAGTAACATGTTGGTTCAAAACGATTCATTGAAGCTGCATTGCCTTGATGTTACAAGCTTTGCAGAAGCAGAAATGCGAAGTTGGATTCCGGATGTGAAGCGTTTATCCATCAACAATGTGCATGATGAGTGGAGCAGGGGGTGAAGAGAAGGAGAAATGAGCACTGCCTTGCCGTCATATTTGCAATTAGTAAGGGGGGTGGGTTCGTTTTTGATTAAATCTCGGCTCTTATACTTCACTCAAGAGAACTTAATCACTTTTTACGTGGGCGTGCTTGATTGTCTGATTATTATACCACAATTTGGCCCAGCTCCCTCCCAATCAACTCCTCCGAGCGCCCCCTTCTCCGCGATTGATTTGTAACAGTCACAGTAAACCCTGATGATGGAGCGCCCGCCTAATGACCGTACATCAAGAGACAGTGATGAGGTGAGGGGCGTGCTGGAGACGAGCCTTTGATGCACATCACGGAGATCCGCCCTAATAGTTGTCCTCTATTTTGACATCTGCGGGGAGACACAGAATGAATCGTCGTCTTCCCAGCAGGATGCAAGCGTCTTGATGTACAGTAATGAGATTATTAGAGACCCGGAAGCAAGTCTGACACTCATTTCTGCCTGTAACTGCAATGTTTGAATGAGACAGAAATGAAACCATCACGTTGTTGCCTTGTGCTGGGTGAAGGAAAATGGCTTTAGTATCAAGTGTCTAAATAGTGCAAATGTATTTAAACGTTCCAGCCAGAGGACAAGGGAATGCACTCAGGATGTTATGCATGCCTGCACACACAGCAGACATACGCTTCAAGTGTTATTTCCTGCAAATCAATTGGAGTTGAACTGTATTTCACTGGGTTAGCTTCATTCTCTACCTTGTTTTGATTGGTCAAAGTGTGACCGTTTCAAGGACACAGCACGACAGATACATTTATAATCCAGACCAGAACACGATGAGCCTTTGCAAACAAACACTGTCGATCCAAATGACCTCTCACACAGATGAGAAAAGTCCATGAATATCTCTTTGCTACACATGTGCACACATAACGAGGAGAATGAACTGAATGTACAACATGTGATTTAGAGTTTAATGTGTAACGATGCATCACTCAATATTATATTAACAATAGATTCGATTCATATCATCTGATATATATTAAGTTTTGTACCCAACTTTTTAGTATCTTTCAGCATATTGTTTTGGTTAGGTGTAGAGATTTCTGTTTGCAGTTTCCTAAAACAAAGAATTCACATTATTAGTAAGTGCATTTGTGTTTATAACTAACTGTCAGACAACACAAGCAATCTAGGGACATCATTTTGAGCTCAAGAAAACTGCTTCAGGTTTTATTTTTTATATTTTCAAAAAAGTGTTTCTTATAAAAAACAGTTATGAAAAGAGGAATCCATAATGAAAAACCTTTAGTTGGAGCCCTACCACATTCATACATGTAGATGCACTCCCACACTCATATATGAATGCCTCAGTGTCAGAATAAACCCTCAGAGGTTGATAAGTATTATCTCTGACATTTCCATGATGTTTTTCTATCCAACAATGCGGAGTTGTAATGTGACATCAGCTGTGAAATGCTCCTTGTTATTTCATATAACACTTCAGTGGTTTAGCATTGGAAACATCCAAATGAGCATACACTTGTTTACTGCATCGCAAATAATGGGTGGAACACTTTTTTTTTTTTTTCGTCTCTTCGCACCGTTGAGGTATTAATGTGCATGCAAGAAGACAGTTGTCTGATTCTGTCACAGCACAATCCATATTTAGATGTATGAATAAAACATATGAGCACCTTTCTTTGAGGTTGCTACTATGCTCTGCAAATGAACATAGGATACAAGCAGGGGTATTCCTTCTGGATAATCAAAAGAACGTGTTTACTGTACATGTTATCATCGCACACGCCACACACGTTGGTTCCATTCAAGGATTTCTAACTATTTTTACAACAGCTGCACCACGTCTTCCATTTAAGATACAGCAGGCAACTCACTGCAATATATATTCATTCAGGGTTTGGGGGGATTTGCAAGGTGTGTAACCTGCCGAGCAACTTCAAAGCGCCACGCTGAGATGATTGACAAGAAGACGTCCACATGTCCCATTGGGAGAGTCGGTTGTCTTCTGACTCGTATCTGGACAAGCCCTGTCCCCTACCAAAGCATTTTGCGTCTCACTCATGTGCACAAAGCTGTCATTTCCCAAATGCATCAGCCCCCCAGAAAGGTGTCACTGGGGATTATGGGATACCTCCTGGGGATTAAAGATGTTCTTGACAGGCTGGCCGCTTCACCTATTCTCAGCAGTCAGTCTTTGCTCTCCTTTGTATGAGAGTTGTTAAAAGTACACATACCCTACACGGATGCCAAGGCTGAGTCTAACATTATGATATGTCTGAGTAATGATTGACCGTGCAGATTTCTTAGCACACATCTGCATAAATGTTGACTATGTAGTATTTAGAAATCCCATTAGAATATTCCACACATCTTATCATGAAACGTCTGTTTTAAAAGATTGTATTTGTGGTCATACAGTAGCAATTATCGGCAAAGACTGCTCATTTGAGGCTCACTAATGTCCATAGTTTTTAATCAAGCAAAGGGAGGAAGAAAAAAAAAGCACAATACGTGCAGACTGCATTAATCCTCCTCCTCCTCCCCCTCTCCTGTCTTCGTCTAATTAAGGGTCATTCTGTCTCCTGGCCACATTAGGACAGCGCAAACCATTCCCCACCCTCATAATTAAATGTTTTTTTTGTGCTAACCATCTGGAGACCTCATCTCTTCAAACGTGCATGTCAAATTGATTCCTTAATAATGTTTATGTGTGTCTTCTCAGTGCTTTATTATCATCCAGGATTAGCTGTTTAGTTTGTTTTGCTTTCATCAGCTACAGACACACACACACATACACACACAAACAGAACAACAACACCCTTAAGATAGGACTAACACACCAGCCAGCAAACCAAACACTCATGAACTTCAAAGCCATGGACGCATTTAATTTTAAATGAGTAACCACCTATTTATGCAGTTAGTGCATCGACAAACTGACGCTTTGAACATCCTGCAAATCTTCGGTACCGTCTAATACTCTGGACACAATGCCTCGTAGATGCTGCGGGATTGTTTTTGTTTGCACTGTGGGATTTCATGGTTCATTCACGCGTCAAATAATATTAGCAAAAACATGTTTCACCAATAAATAACCTTTCTTCCCAGCTTCACAAGGACGATTTTGATTAAAACCCCAGGTTTATTCAATAAACAGACATTTGAGGTAGAAAGTGATATTTACTGTTGTTGTTATTTTTTCCCTTTCACACTTTTCTCCAAGCATGTCATCCCTCTTTTCTTTCATTTTCCCTTCAAATGGCAGCGTTGTTGAAATACAGACATATGTGCAGTCAGAGGAGCGTGCTGCCTTTCTCATTCTCTTTCTCTCCGAGTGCAGTTGAGGGGATTAATCTGTGCCCGAGTGCCTAGAATAATGATCACTGCAGCGGAGAAACACATTTGAACATTTCAGGAGATAAGGGCAGGCAATCTGCAAGCAGATGACTTAACCAGCTCCCTGTGGTTTATTGTGGAGCTAACAGAGAAGTCACCACCAACAAGCAGAAAGAATACCCACAACTATCTGTTCTGGTGTAAGACACATCAGTCACTCTGAAATTACATTCATACCATTTCCTAACTGTGAGGCGCCCCGGCTTATTATTCATGTCCCCATCGCACTACTGTCCAATTTCTAACTGTGGTGGTTCATTTCCCACCAAGAGATCAAATCTGGTTGCGTTTCCCACAGACACCAAATCTGATTTTTCATTTCAAAGATAGCGAGATGTAGAGGGCTATTCTCACTTTCAAACTTAATCCACTCTTGCAACGCTGGCTTCCCCAAGTGGCAGACATGCTGAGAGGCGCTCCTAATTACACAGAGAGAACGCTTTTGGACATCATGACAGGAATTCTTACCGACACGGTAATGACAGTTCAATACAAACTCCTACCTTTCCAACATACTGTGCTTCTGTTCCCAGGTGTTCTTCTAAAACAAAGAACTGGTTCCAGATCCAGCCGCGCTTCGGCCTGTGATGCACCTCCGTCTCCCCGTTGGCCAGTTTGGTCCCGTTCCTGAAAGAGGGCACTTTGGCGGGGAGGTGGTGGCTCGCCCCGTAGCACCTCTGGATGAAACAGAGGCAGACCAGAAAGGGACAGAGACAGGAGGGGGCGGATATCCTCATGGTGGCGCGTGCTTTTGTAAAGGTATCCCCGTGTTGCAAGGTGGTAAGGTCCTCCCACCACCACCGCCGCCACAACCAGCCACCGCTACCGTAGTCCCAGCCAAAGATAATTCTAAATCCAAATGAAGGAAATAGCCCTCCCGGTAGATCCTCTAGGGTTCATCTCCCAAAGCCGTAGGTTTAATGAGGAAAAAAAGGAGCGAGATATATTTACATTATGGAATTTCCCAGGCTGTGAAATGCTGTGCAAATGGACGTGAACTTCTGGTAGTTCTACCAAGAGCAGAGGTTAATCCTGGAAGCCATTTTGGATTTCCTGGGAGAGAAGGAGAGAGAAACACAGAGTAAGAGATTAATTTGATGGATATTAGAAGCTAAATGTCCACTAATTCCCTCCAATTAAATTGCAACTCGTAAATCCTTGCAGATGAGGACATGCACTTCAAACTGGTCGACAAAGTACAAAAAGTATTCTAGTTGTACTATTCCAGCCGTTGTGCGGATGATACAAACAAGTTCAGACCTGAGGAGTCGCAGTTCTATTAAAAGGTTGTCCATGCCTATGAGGTTATGGCGCTGTGCGGTGACTGATACCGCCTTGTGAGGTAAGAGTCATGTTTCAGAGCAGAGCCGGCCTGTGACTCAAAGGATGAGTTGGTTTATTAAAAAACATCAGGAAATGTTTGATTTGGATGTTTTAACACGAGCGGGGCATACTGTGGGTCTTACTGTGCGCTTGAATAATAAACACGGCAGGAAGAAATACATTTGCTATGATAAGGACGGGCATCAAGCCACTAAGACGTGAGGCGGAGGGGGGATTTAAAAAAGGCAGTGGAATGGAAAAGACAGAAGGAAACTGCTTTTCTCAATCAAAATAGTAAAGATGGCAATGAAGTATTAAAAAATAGTGACGCTCTGCTAGTCTTCTGAAAGAATGTGCATTACCCCTGCATGATAAACTGTGTGATCTTTAAAGAAGGGGCATTATGGAGAATCATCTAGTCTTGGGCTGGGTTTTAGAGTTGGATATATTATTTAAGGAGTTGCTGAAGCATGAAATCGCTCCTCACGGCTCACTTTTGAATCGCAGGAAATTGCAAAGTTTGACCTTGCTGTGCTGCCCTTTGGTGTGATGTCACAACTAAAGATATAACAATGATTTCAGAGTCTAATTTAGGTTTCTGAACAGTGAGATGTGAGGCCTTTCTTAGACAGAGTACGTCAAGTTCAAGCTTGCACTAAGGATGTTAACATTGCTAACGCGACAAAAGCATTGTTGCTGACATCACCAGCTCCACCAGGCTTTGGGGATTAGACTGATGCACAGAAATACACCTGCTGTGTGATGAAATCATCTCTAAATATTCTAAAATATGTTCAGCTCAAAGGTTGACATAACCAGATTCATGGAGCTCAACACTGCATCGTCAACATATATTAGTACTGCAAATGTGTTTGATGTACAACTCAAATCTGAAAAACAATACCTAATTTCGCTTTTAGATGCAGAATAAAGTGTGTTCAAGTTTTCGGCGGAGGCTGGTGTGCAATTCTTTCATTTTTGGTTGCTTAGCGTGAGCTATTGAGTACAAGTTGAGTGAAGTCACAATGAATTTGACGTTTGACTACCAAAATCAAACAGATAATCTTTTTGAAAAAATGTGTCACCAAAATGCTTCCTTACAAAGAAGTCACAAAGTTGTCAAAAAGGAATTAGACTTTCGAAAGCCAACTATAAACAAGAGAAACGTGAGTTAAAAGAAGTGTGGGCATATTCTAAAACTGATCATTATAATAAAGTGACTTAAAGCTGTAGCGTTGATCCAACATTCAAAGTGCTGCAGCTGAATAGCAGCTTTGTGGGGATTATGGAGAGGACAAACATATATTTGATATGTAATAGGATATAGGAGTTGACAGACTTCAAAGGGCTCTTCTCTCTATCTCCCACAATGCCTGTGACAACCTTAGAGAGAAACGCTAAAACGAGGCATTAATGCAACTTAAGACTGCCACATACTTTGAAGGATCATCACCGAATATTTATTCATATAAATATAAATATTTTTACATATATATGGATTAGGATTTTCTTAGTACCACCGACTAATCCCCATGTTTGAAATATCTCTACATGCAAATTATGCAGCTCATCTATAGTTGCTGGTGATGTTGACTAAGTGGTTGTAATGGATAATGCCAGCCCAGACAGGGGAAGGGAAGGCAAAGTCGGTTCCACATCAATTTAGATTACAGCAAAGAGGGATAAATACTCTGCCGCACACTACACGTGTAATCTGGGGAAAGATTCTCATCTGCATAGGTAGAGCTACGCCCAAATCCTGTTTCCAATTCATGGGGAAATGATTTCAAGTGCTGCAAAGAATACTCTTGCACTTCTTTTAAATAATTGTTCTAGAGATTTGAAGGTTGTTCCTCTTGTTTCAATGTATTTTGATTCACAGTTCAGCCACACAAGTAGTGAAGTGAGTGAGTCAGTAAGACAAAAAATATAGTTTATGTTGGTTCCACTTTCACCTCTCTTCAATCAGTATTTTAATTGAGCTATTATCATGCAGATTCTCAGCAAAAAAACATTTCATGGAGTCATAAAATCAACAGAATCCGGCTCACTCAATGGAAATAATTTCCTTCCCTTTTTTATGATGATGATGATATTGTTTAATGCGACCTTCTGCCCAAGGCGTGGTTATGTGTGTGGAGCGTTTAACAGGATGGGTTATGCACAGCAGCAGCCACAAAGATTTTGGCAGGCTGCATACAAAAGTGGCTACATTTGCACGCACATGCAATTCTGTTTTGATCTGGTGTTGTGAATGTGCCACATCGTTGCACCGGATGACATGCTATGACATTACCACAGGGATCTGTCATTTACTTCCCCTTGTACACCGTTCTGCTGCTGGAACGCTCATTAGAGCACCAAATGTGTATTATAACGCTGCTGAAAACAACAACAAATGGACTGTTTACTGCTGTTTGAGCCATGTTTGATTCTAAACTACAGGGCCCAGTTGTTTTCAAAGATGTTCATTTTAAAAAAGATTCAATGGGCTTGGAAATGAAAGTTGCATACGGGTAGGGAATTCAGAAATGATGAGAGGGGGTCTGACTTGTCTGTGTTTTAAAAGCATTGCTTTTAATCATTATCATTTTATATTAACCCATTCACTGAATTACCTTAGCTTATACGTCGGTCAAAGCAAGCAACTCAAAGATGAACCGTCTTGTGGGACCTTCTGATTCCTTAAAGGGCCCTATTATGAACATTTGATTGTCCATGTTTGTATTGTGTGCCTCTACTGGGACATGTTTCCATGCTTTGAAGTTAATGGAAAGGATCTCTCTTTGCACCTCTGATACTTTATTTTACTTTTTGCTGGTGGACTGTTCAACCTTTGGCAAGGAAAACAAAGGCAGACACAAAACTGTCTCTGTCTCCTTAGTTATTCATGGGACTCAACTCAATAACAGCCAATCAACTGGTCATGTAAACAACCTAAATGGAATAGCCAATAGCCCACTGATGACACAGCAGGGGGTGAAATGCTTATAAGAAAGGCAGAAAGATAATGTAAAATGAAGACAACAATCGAAACAGAGCTGCTGAGAGACATACACCTCGATTCAGAGTGTCAGAGAGGGGCTCCTGTCCCCTGCCGCTAATAGCTAATGTTTCGGGCTCCTGCTAAGAGCTCACCCTCTGCTTTCCATTTCACAGCATCAGCTCTCTGTCGGTGTCAAACAGCAGACTGGGGCGGGTCAAAACACATATCAGTGAACTACTGCTCTGTCCTCAGAACAAAGAGGGACAGTCACAGAGACTCTTGACTCTTCCCCTCACCTGGAAATAAAGCAAATACAAACATTTTGCAGCCGTTAATAAGACCTGTTGGTTGCCTCTAGCTCTCAGGTAGTGTTTTCACGAGCTGAAGGTAATAAAATAAGAACATTTGTGACACAGCAATCTGACTGTTACACTGCTGTGAAATGTTCCTGAGGCCTGAACATGAATTTATTTTAGGTGTTTGTTGTTTCAGAAGCAGCTTTCAATGAACCTGCTGGAAATAGAATGAAAGCCTAAAAACACCCCCTGCACAGATATATGCAATATGAGCTGTAGTACCTCATCTAAAGCCACTAATACCCTTTGTATTGCTTACAGCATATAGCTTTGCTGTGCTGGAAAAATGTTTCGTCTGCGCTGGAATAGAAGGCAGCTGTGTCAATAATAGCGGTTGGGTAATACAATAATAAATACAGTGAGAACACTTTTTTACACATAATTTGTATTGACATTAAGAGAGTATGCAGTGTTTCTTTCAATTCCTTTATGCTTGGATTTCCATTATATATCAGCACCACATAAAAAAAACTCCCATCTTGTAATACTCTTTGAAGAATCAAAAAGTATTACACTATTATACAGTCCATTAGACATAAAAGCAGCTATACCTGTCACATATACTCTTCAAGTGTTGAACTGTGAATAGCAGGCATCACAGAATGTACTTTTCAGCTACTGTAAATGCTGTATAAAATAATGTATTTTTAAGAGTTAATGCCAAGTGATAATAGCCCTGTTTGACACAATTACAAAAATGCATTTCATTGATTACTACCTAAAAAAACACGCTTTGTGCCCTGGGTGATGTGACCCAGCTCATTGTTTGTGAAAGGAAGCAGATTAGTGTGATAGCCAGCTGCACAGACGGGACAATCCTCTGAATGTGCGGCGCACCCTGGAGCTTCCACAAAATTGGAGGAGACAAATAGGTTGAAGAGAGGTGCCAGCCATTCAGGAGGGTTAGCCAAGCAGTCTGTAGTATTTCTACAAAGCCATCCTACAAAAACACTCAGGGAATCAGGGCTGAAAGGATCGTTTCAGGGTTTGTCTTTCTACAAAAACTGTCTTGTGAGCCCTTTTTTCCACTCAGGTCTCGGTTGATTTTTGTAGGCTACATGATTTAGTTATATATCAGGATTCTATATGGAACGTTTGTTTTGGCACATACTGTAAGCATCACCCACTCTTGTGTGATGAAGGTTTTGTAGAAAACAACAGATGTAA